TGCGTTGCGTGCGTGCGTGAGTGCGTGCGTGAGTGCGTGCGTGCGTGCGTGCGTGTGTGTGTGTGTGTATGTGCGTGTGTGTGTGTGTGTGCGTGCGCGTCGCCCCTCAAGGGGCGGCTCGCGCGCGCGCCGAGAAATCTTGTGGTATATGCGTCGTCGGGAAACAATGTACTACAAGGTGCGTATGCTTTATGATCGGGTCGGACGCGCGCCTCCCATGAGGACATCTATTACTAGTCTGTGCTCTGTGCGTCCCAAAAGTCTGTCCTTTTCGGGCCCGCAAGGACCCCTTTGGGGCCCTTCTTCGACAGCCCTCGCCGTCCCCCATGGATCGCCCCCCCAATACATCGCCACCGAAAGCTTCAGGATGGGAATCGCCCCACTGCCCCCCCTCCTCCAATCTCCTCCGTCTCGGCATCGAGCGAGCGAGCGCATCGGGAACACCATCTTGAAACACTGAAAGCAATCGGATTGCAACCACACATAAGAAAGCAACCGCAACTGTTGACATCCTGCGAGTACTAAAGCAGCACGCGTGGATGGGCGGGAAACCTTCTGGACAACCTCAGGGGGAGACTGAGAGTAGTATTCATATGGTTTGAGCGGACAGCTAAATGTTTCGCACGCCTGCGCACCCCTGGTAAGCGTTGGTGCCGGTGGATCTGGGAGCCCTCGTTAAACCAACCCCTCTCATGGGGGCTTGAGGAGGCCACAGGGTATGATGGAGCGCCCCTTTCTGCTCACTCAATATGCACTGCTGGGGGACTGCACGCCTTTTTCAGCTCCAATGTCATGGATATTGCGTGAAGATAAGTTGATAACCATGCGAGCGACGCACAAGAACGGGGTAGTCTGCGCCGACATTGGCGCGTAAGCTGCCCGCGTAAGCTCGCGCGGAAGAGCCCTCGTTCCCAATGTATCGAGCCACGTTGGCAGTCCGCGTAAGCCGCCGCGTAAGGTCGCTATGCCATCTCGCGTGCGGCCCGTTTTTGATCGTCGTTCATGGTAGACGAACGACACTGATTATGCGTTTCTGGAGAAGGCGTGGCTGCCATTGTCCAACATCTACGACGTCTTCACATTTCGCCTGGGCGGAGCCGCGCAGCGGAAGATGTGCTCAGAGAGACAGGAGGCTCGCACCTCCACCTCTGACTCCGCGCGTGCTCCCGCGCTGCCTCGGGGGGAGGAGGCGGCGGGTGAGGGGAAGCAGCAGCCCCTTCCGCGGCACGTGCAGCAGCAGCAGCAGCAGCAGGCCAGGTCATCAAGAGTGGCGAGGCCCTTGCCGAAAGCGTGGCGAGCCGGCGGGCAGGTCGGGCTCTACGGCACGCCGTTCTGTTGCTTCGTGCACGTGGAGCCCGAGGAAGCTGGTCGGCCCTCCCCCCTTCCCCCCAGTCCTCCTCGCAACTCCTCTTGTTCTTCCTTCACCCCTCTTGCTCATAATCACTTCTCCTCGTCACACCACCAGCCGTGTCGTCAGAACAGGCAGGGCGTTTCACCGTGACTTCATGTCCCTTGTGCAATTTTCAGTTGGTGCAAGGTTCAAGGACAGAACACGGGTCATTTTCAAAATGCTGGGTTCGCATCAGAGCCGCGCGGATTTGTGTTTAAAGTATTCCACGCCGTTTGCCAACGTGGATCTCAAGTTGTGAGCTATTGTTTTCTTAATGTGCATTATGTGGTGCAATATTAGCAATTTGCCCTATGTTGTGGAAGCTCCGTGGTGTATGGGATGTAGTTAGTTGAAGGGCTTAAGACTGCACGCTGCAGAAGTCTAGCAAACATCCCATCCGCCCGTAACTTGCCGGCAACACTCAAGAGGCCGTGAGTGCTTCGGCAGAATTTGCTCACAAATCCAAGCACGCGCCATGGCGAGGCGAAGCTGCGTGGGCGGGCGAGAGGAAAGTCTCCTGTGGCTGAGGCGCGGCCAGACCAAATGATTCTCCACCGGGCGGCCGGTGGCGCGCGGTGTCCCGCCGGTGTCCCGGTGGTGTCCTCTGTGGCTGAGGCGCGGCCGGACCAAATGATTCTCCACCGGGCGGCCGGTGGCGCGCGGTGTCCCGCCGGTGTCCCGCCGGTGTCCCGTCGGTGTCCCGTCGGTGTCCCGATCATGATGTTTATGATGATGATGATTATGATGATGATGATGATGATGATGATGATGATGATGATGATGATGATGGTGATGATGATGATGATGGTAATGATGATGATATTGATGATGGCGATGATGATGATGTTGTTGATGATGTTGATGCTGCTGATGATGATGATGATGACGTCGATTGCGAGATCGATAGTGATATCGATAGTGAGACCGAATGTGAGATCGATTGTGAGATCGATTGTGATATCGGTAGTGAAATCGATAGTGAGACCGAATGTGAGATTGATTGTGAGATCGACTGTGAGATCGATAGTGCGATCGATAGTGAGACCGAATGTGAGATCGATTGTGAGATCGATTGTGAGATCGATAGTGAAATCGATAGTGAGACCGATTGTGACATCGATTGTGAGTTCGATAGTGAGATCGATAGTGAGACCGACTGTGAGATCGAGTGTGATATCGATAGTGAAATCGATAGTGAGACCGAATGGGAGATCGATAGTGAGATCGATAGTGAGACCGAATGTGAGATCGATTGTGAGATCGATTGTGATATCGATAGTGAAATCGATAGTGAGACCGAATGTGAGATCGATTGTGAGATCGATAGTGAGATCGATAGAGACCGAATGGAGATCGATAGTGAGATCGATAGTGAGACCGAATGTGAGATCGATTGTGAGATCGATAGTGAGATCGATAGGGAGATCGATAGTGAGACCGAATGTGAGATCGATGGTGAGATCGATAGTGATATCGAGAGTGAGATCGATCGAGTGCGACGTTGGTCCCTCCCCCCCCCTCACCTCCTTATCACCCGAAGGGTGGTCGTATAGGTAGGAAAATATGGGAAGTGGGGGGGAGACAAAAACTTAGAAAATATGGGAAAATATTGGGAATCCTGTTTTTTGTGTGTACTTATTTGTGTGTCCCAGGGTCCCTTCCAAATTTCGCTCTGATAGCACAATTGTTCTTCATCCAGCTGCATGCGGCATGGCCCGCCACTGTACAAGCTCAGCATTCTCGGTGCCGATTGTGAAAGGGGGCACGGGAGGTCGTAACGTGCGATATTGATTGTCCTGAGGCGTCGGGGAGCCGTAACATGCGATGCACGAAATGTTGTCGAGTGTGTGCGTGCGTGCGTGTGTGCGTATGTCTTACCACCTGCCCCATCCATTGTGCGGCGACTCTTGGAGTAATGTCCAGATTGCTCTGGCATGTGTCATTCGCCCACATTGAGGCTGTTTTGGGTTGCTGCGAGGCCGCGCTTGGGCGGAAACAGTAATATGAGGGGGATGATGACAATGCGGATCAGGATTAAGAAACAGTGGGGGATGAGGAACGAGCTTCTCTGACACTTGCGCAAGAAGCAATGGTGCAGGAACCAGCGATGCCTTGTGTAGGGAGGTCACAAGGTGATAACACTTGACACGTGCCTTTTCTTTTACGGGACGGGTTGTGATGCGGCTGCGCTCTCATATCGGGCTTGTCACCAGACATTTCCGGACGACCGCAGCAGAACAATTGCACACTCGTGTAGGCAGGGCTTGTGCGCGTGCGCGGGACCGCTGACCCGAGTGGCGTGCCCCTCTGGATGCGTGTAGCCCCGGCGTGCACGCGGGGCAGCGGACACGAATCTACGAGGCACGGCCTGCTCGTGGGGGGACCGCTGACGGTACGTGGCGTTAAAGGCGTCTCGTGGAATTGCGTGTTCAGAACATATTAGAGAGATTCCTCTGCAGTCCATTCATCAGGCGGAATTGGAGTTTCTCTCAAAATTTTCGCTTGTCGCCGTGGCCGAATTCTGAGGAGCTTTTCTGCGGGCCGATAATCAAGCGGAGCGGGAGTTTCCCAACATAGGCTTCAGCCAAGCAATTTTGAGAAACTCGGCGGCTTTCAATGAGAGGGGACGAGGGAGCGGACTTTCGAGGCAGGGGCCGCCCATGGCAAGGTCCAGGCCGGGTCCGTCGGGCCCGGCCCGGCCCGGGCCGGGCCAGGCAGGGCTGGGTCTCTGGGCCAGGCGCGAAGGGGGTATATAGCGTACCCAGACATGGGACGTCCTGTTTTTTGTCAAGACGGCGTCCCCAGAAGTCCAGACCCAGAGATCCACGGCATTGAAAAAAATCAAGACGGAGGTTTTTCCCCAATTTCGGCCCCTCTAGGGGTTCTCGCCGGGCCTCGGGACCGTCACAGAACGACTCAGGATGAAAAACGGGTCCTGGGGAATGGGTCGAGACTTCCGGAGACCGCGTATTGAGAAAATCACGACATCGGATCTCTGGGGTTGGACTCGGCGATCTGGATTCGGCGACCGGGCATAGACCCATGGTTCGGGCCCGCCGATCCGGCCCAGAATTGGCCCCGACCCGGCCCCACATTCGGCACGATGGTAGGGCAGGAACGGGGACGAAGACCGACCGTAGTTCCTGTTCATTTCGATCAGGACTCGTAGTCGGCGTCGCCGCGGACATTGTCCGTTTGAGACAGAAGGTCGCTTACCCAACAGCGGCGGCTGTCGAATTTGGGCTTCCGTAAGACACGACCCGGCCCGGCGACCCACTCCTCCGGACCGGGCCCAGGCCCGGCCCGTGCCTGGCGACCAGGACCCGGCCAGGACCCGGCCAGGACCCAGCGATTTTGCTCAGACCTGGCCCAGACCCAGGGTTCCGGTTCTCCGCCCTGGCTTTTCAAAGAAGGGAGCGGCGCGGATCAGGGACCCCCTTTCCTGGGCCTGAATCGTGGCCTCTTGGGGCGCTCTTGGGCTTGGGTCTGTTTTGGGGCTCGGGCCACTTTTGGGGCTCTCCGCCACCTCGAAGGCCATCTTGAGCTCTCTGGAGCCGTTGCGGAGCCATGTTGGCTAAAATGCCTCCCAAGGATGCATCCGAACGGCCCTCCCAAGGATTTTGGCCCAAGGGGAGGTTTCTCAGTCGGCAGGGTGAGGCTGCCCGCTCCTCCAGCACCCTACCCGCACGCTCAGCCCGCGCGCGATGCTTCAGGATTTCGGGGCGGCTCTCGCCGCGCAGGGGAACGGCGAGGCAGCGCGCACCGAGTCCGACGGGCTCAGCCTGGCCCGCACGCAGTGCTCCTCGGGAGAGTTGCTCGACCTCGGCGACGACCACGGCGCCAGCGCTCACACGGAGAGCTGGGGCGCTTCCGCGCTGCCGAGGTCAAGCAGTGGCGAAGCGTCCTGGCTCGCTCATAGCCCATAGCCCTAGCAAACAGTGTTATAACAACCTTCTGTGGCTTTCCACGAAGGGTCCTTAGAGCATTTCTGGCGGAGGTTGTCTTGTTTGAACACATCGGGCGAATATTCTAAGAACATGGCTTTTGTTCTAAGAACGTTTTTGGGGTTCTAAGGAGATTTCGTGGTAGGACTCTACGAATGCCGGGACGATCGGCCCCTGCTCAACGAGGGACTCAGAGCCCCGAATCATCAGGGGTAAGTCGGGTCAGGGATAACTCGGGTTCTTTTTCGGGAATCCAAACCCGAGTTACCCCGGACCCGAGTTACCCCGGATAACTCGGGCGTCCAGAGCCCCGAATCATCAGGGGTAACTCGGGTCAGGGATAACTCGGGTTCCTTTTTTCGGGAGTCCAAACCCGAGTTACCCCGGACCCGAGTTACCCCGGATAACTCGGGCGCCCAAAGGGACGGCGAAGCGCCGGCCCTCTTCCAGACGGCGCGCCCCGAGATGGTCCTCCTCGGGGGCGGGCGCCCCCAGGGTGGGCCTGCCGTGCCGCGTCGCCTCCGGTCCGCGGCGTTCTGGGAGCAGAGGGCCGCAGCCACCGCCCGGCGGCCGGGCTGCTCGCCGTGGGAGCTGGGCCCGAGGAAGCGCGGTCCGTGCCACGACGAGGAGGCCTAGTCGCTCGGGGTGCCATCGCAGACGACTCCGCACGGTGCGGGCTTCGCAGCAGGCAGGGGACAAAAAGTCGCATAAGCATAACAACTCGGAGGTCCGATTTTTTATGTTTATGTGACTTGTTGTTCCCCTGGCAGGGGCGCGGTCACGGGGCGACTCGGGCGCGGCAGCTTGCCAGGTGCTTGCGCTTCCGCGGCGGGCTGCTTGCACTTCCCTCTTTTTGTTGGAGACAGGCCACGGTTGCCAGATCTCCGCGCGTCGGCCGATTCAAATGTTGGACCCGGCACGCCTGCCGATGGGCAATTCATATTTCTCAACGCGCATCTTCATTCAGGAGTTCGACCTTTTTCTTCTCCTCCCTCCTTCTTCTCCTCTCTCTCTCCTCCTCCCTCCTCCTACCCTGTCCTCTCTCCCTTTTTTTTCCTCCCTCCTCCTATCCAATCTCCTTCTCCTCCTATCTCCTTCTACTCCTCCTCCTCCTCTCCCTGCCGTCACTCCTGATTTCGGAGATGTTGGTTTTATTGTGAGCCTGGCGCTTCCGCGGACTGCTTGCTTTTCTCTTTCTGCAGTGGAGCCGCAGAGAGGCAACCGCTGCGCGCCATCTGCCGTGATGCTGGCGTATAGGAGATCTCGAGTTTCCGCAAGCCGCCCTCGTATCGTGCATGGGTCCACGTCCATAGGAGCTCCACTCCAGATACTCCGCTGTTCCCCTTCGTGTTAGAAACCGCAGGGAGCTGGTTCGAAGAAGGCCCCAAGACGGCCTCATGACGCACCAGCAAAAAGACCCCAGTGCCCAAGACAGATCCGAGAGGCGCCCAGATTGCCACACGAGGTCTCAGGCCTGAAGCACCAAGACGTTTCCCTTCCTCCGTCCTTCGTCGTCTTACTCTTGCGGTATGCTCCGCCGCCGCCGCCACTGCTGACTCGACTGCTTGGCTCGGAGTGGCCAGAACGAGCGAAAGACAGGCCACGGTTGCTTCAAATATTGGACCACGCCCGCCGATGGGCACCCTATATTTCTCAACGCGCATCTTCACTCAGGAGTTCGTCCTCTTTCTTCTCCTCCCTCCTTCTTCTCCTCTCTCTCTCTCTCCTCTCTCACTCCTCCTACCCTGTCCTCTCTCCCTGCTTTTCTCCTCCTTCCTCCTATCCTATCTCCTCCTCCTCCTCCTCTTCCTCCTCCTCCTCTCCCTGCCGTCACTCCTGATTTCGGAGATGTTGGTTTTATTGTGAGCCTGGCGCTTCCGCGGACTGCTTGCACTTCTCTTTCTGCAGTGGAGCCGCAGAGAGGCAACCGCTGCGCGCCATCTGCCGTGATGCTGGCGTATAGGAGATCTCGAGTTTCCGCAAGCCGTCCTCGTGTCGTGCATGCGTCCACGTCCATACGAGCTCTACTCCAGATACTCCGCTGTTCCCCTTCGTGTTGGAAACCGCAGGGAGCTGGTCCGAAGAAGGCCCCAAGACGGCCTCATGACCAGCAAGAAGACCCCAGTGCCCAAGACAGATCCGAGAGACGCCCAGGTTGCCACACGAGGTCTCAGGCCTGAAGCACCAAGACGTTTCCCTTCCTCCGTCCTTCGTCGTCTTACTCTTGCGGTCAGCTCCGCCGCCGCAGGAGCGCGGTCGCAGGGTGATTCGGGCACGGCAACTTGCCAGGTGCTTGCGCTTCCGCGGCGGATTGCTTGCATGTCTCTTTTTTGTTGCAGTGGAGCCGCAGAGAGGCAACCGCTGCGCGCCATCTGCCCTGATGCTTGCTTAGGGGATCTCGAGTTTCCGCAAGCCGCCCTAGTATTGGGCATGGGCTCACGCCCATAAATGGGAGTATGTCATGTAACAGGGAACTGGATCCCCCGACCACGGGCCGCACACTTTTTCAAACATCCCTTTATCCCCTGGTGTCACCTTTTAGTCCTGGCGGGGTCCTGACTTTTTTCGGGGCGTTTCCGGGCCGGGCTCGCTGTTGGGGGGCCGCCAAAGAGCCCCCAAAGCGATGAGACAGCCGTCCCGACGGCCCAAGACTGTCCCGAGCCGCCCCGACGACCCAAGACGGCCCATCTTGGGGCGATCTTTGGTGCTCTTGGGGGCCTCCAGAGCCAAGTTGAAAAGAGATCGGGAGTTTGCTCAAATCTTCTGCTGTCTTCAAGTCGAACCCCCCATCACAGTCCCCAGGGTGCGTTTCCGTGTCCACCGCCCGCCGCTTTCCTCTCCCGGCCCACTCTCCTGCTCTGTGTGTTCACGCGATTCCCACTTCGCATCCGCCCCGCCTCCTTCCTCTTCGTCTCTGCTTCGCGCCATCCTTTTCTCCGCCTCCCTCATGCAATTCCGTCACGTCCATCTCTCATCTCATTTCTCCTTCACTCCTTCCTCCCTCCGCCTCTTTCGCCCAGCATCCTGCTCCACTGTGTGGACGGAGACCCAGCTTGACGAAAAAGGGACGTCCCTCAAGTCCTTTTTTCCCAAGCTCGACCCCAGTCGACATTTCGAGCCCAGACGCCACGATCGCCGGGGAGGCCCCGAGGAGCGCCCAAGAAGTCCCAAGGGGCCACCAGAGCCTCCCGAAGCCTCCCACAAGTTCCCTTCGGGCAGCTGCTCGGTGTATCTGCTCAGAGCAGCAGGATTTCTTAGGGTCTGCTTACTTAGCGACTCCTGAAGCGTCCATCTAGAAGTACGCTCCCGTATGGTGATCCTTGCGGGATGATGCCAATCCCATCCGAACCTGCGAGGGTGGCTGGGACTGCCCTACAACCTAACCGCGCTCGAAGTGCGCGCCTGATTCCAGTGTGGGTTTGTGTATATATATATATACATATGGGAGATCCCGGCCCCCGCGCCCCGGGCCGGAACCTCCCTTGTATATGCGTGGGTCCCTCCCCTGGCGGCGTCCCCAGGGGCTCCGAGACGGCCCCAAGAAGGCCGAGGAGGCCCCCAAGTGGTCCCAGAGGGCCCCGAGACGCCGAAAGATCGCTCCAAGACGCCCACGATGATCCCAAGACGGCTTCAGTGGCCTCCAAAACGCGGCTAGCGGTCTCCAAGAGGCCTTCCCAAGAGGGTCCCAAGAGGCAAAACAGGCCCAACAATGTCAATACACAGCCCAAGAGCCTTCCAATATGTATGTATATATGTGTGTATATACATGGATGTGTAGGTTTATGTGCGTCTGTATGTATGTATGCATGCATGCATGCATGCATGCATGTATGTATGTATATATATATATATATACGTGTGCATGTATGTATGTATGTATGTGTGTATGTATGTATGTACGTGTGTATGTATGTATGCATGCCTGCATGCATGCATGTATGTATGTATGTACGTACGTACGTACGTACGTACGTATGTCGTATGTATGTTGTCTGTCTGTCTGTATGTATGTTTGTATGTATGCATGTATGTATGTATGTATGTATGTATGTATATGTGTAGGTATGTATGCATGTATGTATGTATGTGTGTATGTATGTATGTATGTATGCATGCATGCATGCATGCATGTATGTATGCATGCATGCATGCATGCATGCATGCATGCATGTATGTATGTATGTATGTATGTATGTATGTATGTCTCTCTATATATATATATATATATATATATGTATAGGGGAGGGGGTCCCGGGCCCCCCGAAGTGCACTGATTTGTCTTCTGGCCGTTTCGGGCCCGGCGGGGGGCGGCAAACAACGTCAAAGGGGGCGAGAGACGTCCACGAGGGCGCATTGATGGCCCAAGAGCGCTCCAAGAGAGCCCAAGACCGCACAAGAGCGTTCCAAAATTGGTCCAACATGGCTTTGAAGACAGCCTAAGAGGGCTTCAAGATGGCCACGATGCCCTCAAGGGTTCCCACGAGGCACTCGGGAGGCGAACCAAGTAGGCTTCCTCAATGGTTTTTGACGGTTGTTCGTGTTCTCGTTGTTTCGTGCCTCCCACGGTCCAAGACAGCCCATGAGGCCCCAGAAACCAGCTCAAGACGGCCCAAGAGGCACCCAAAGAGGGCGCCACGACGGCGCAATAGAGAGCCCCAAGACGGCCCAACGAGTGCCCCAAGGCGGCCCCAGAGGCGCCCAAGATCGCCCCAAGAGGGCCCTAAGAGGGGCCCAAGAGGGGGAACACGAACCGACAATTCGAGCCTTCCGCCCCAGTAGGCCTCCAGGAGGCCCCCAAGAGGCCCCCAAGAGAGACCAGGAGGCCCCCTAGAGGCCCCCTAGAGGCTCCACGAGGCCCCACAGGAGCCCCAAAAGACGCCCCACGAGCATCCGTAGCCATTTTGGCTCAAGGTGGCTCTGACTGCAGTGCGCAAGCGCTCATCATAGTTGCCCATCACCATGCAGACCCCGCGACCAGGCCCCTGGGGCCCGAGGCTGCCCACTTTTCCCAAACTCCCCCCTCCCCCCGCGGTGCCCACTGTTTCCCTCGGGGTCCTTCGGGGGGCTTTCGGAGGGCCCGAAGGCGCTCCCCAGACGGTCCAGGAGGCGTCCGAGACGGTCCAAGAGTGCGCCAAGACGCCCAAGATGGCTTCAAGACGGCCCGAGAGGCCCCCCAAGCGCTTGAAGAGGGCTCCAAGAGGACACTTATGAGGGCCGCAAGGAACACACATCGCCCTGATTCCTCGTATGTTTGGCCTATGCGTTCCTATTTGTATATATATATATATATATATATATATATATAGATATGTGTGTGCTATGTATGTATGTATGTATGTATGTATGTATGTATGTATGTATGTATATATATATAGAAGTAAATAGCGTCCACGACGGCCTCAGAGAACCCCAAGAGCGCCGCAAGACATCCCAACAAGGCCTCCAAGACGGCCCAAGAAGCTCCCAGGATCGCCCCAAGACGTCCCACAGAGCCCTCCAAGACGACTTCCGTAGGCGCCTGTGGATCCCAGAGCGCTCTGAGACAGTCCAAGAGGCCCACAAGGCACCTCACTCCATACCCCTCCCCGCTCCTCCCAGATCGTTCCCATTCCTCCCCATCCCTCCCCGCTCCAGGCAGGTGTGCGCGAGGCGGTTGCGTCTCTGGCCGCGAGATCCTGCCAGTGCATACCTACATGTACGACCACCCTTCGAGTGATAAGGAGGTTGTGTGTGTGGCGGTGTGGGGGATGAAGGGGGACCAACTGGAGCTACAACATAGCATCGCATAGCATCGCATAGCACAGCATAGACGAGCATCGCGTATCATAGCACAACATATCATTGCATAGCATGTCATCGCATCGCATCGCATCGCATATAATAGCATAGCATCGCATGGCACAGTACGGCGTAGCATAGCATAGCATCGCATTGCGCAGCATAGTATCGCATCGCATCAGACCGCATAATTTAGCATCGCATTGATAACATAGCGTAGAATTGTACAGCATGGCATAGCACAGCACAGCACAGCATCGCATAGCACCAGACACGACGAGACACCGCGGGACACCGCGGGACACCCCAAGGCCACCGCCAGCCACCCCCGGTCCACTGTTGGCCAACCGGGGGGCACAGCAAAATTTGGCCCAGTTTTGCCGTAAGCACAGATGGTTCTTTCCTCTCGCCTTCCGACGCAGCTTCGCCGCACCCACACGCGCGACACGAACACGAAACCGAGAACGATTTCCTGGCGGGGGGCTCCTGTTCACTTCGATCTCTTTCCCAACTTCGGATTCTGTCACACCACGGGACACCGCGGGACACCCCCGGGCAACCACTGGCCAACCGGGGGGCGCAGCAGAATTTTGTTCGGTTTTGCTTGAGCACGGCGGGATCATCCCCCTCGCCCGCCGAAGCAGCCTCGCCTCGCCCACACGCACGACACGAAACCGATAACTACTTCTTGGCGGGGGGTCTCTTGTTCACGTCGATCTCTTTCCCAACCTCGGATTCTATCTGCTTGCTGCGGAGACAATCGTTTGTTTCGCTTCGCCTGGCCCCTCCTCCCCCCCCCTTCCTAGAGCCGCCGTCCCGGCTCAGGGGTTTTGGGCGCAGATCCCAGGGATCTGCGAACCCCTCCGTCGGACAGCGGCCATACGTGCTGGCCTGCCTCCAGCGAGGCGGCTGGCCGTGCCATCGCACCGCGCGCGCGGGCAACTGTGGCAGGCCCCGGGCCCTCCGCCACAGCGTGCCGCGCCTGCGACGCTCGTGGCAGGCCCCGGGCCCACCGCCACGACGCGCCGCGCAGCGCCACCAGAGCCAGCCTGGCACAGGCGAGAGAGGTCACGCAGAGCGAGTGACCGTGTCTTTGTCAGACTAGCTGCATCGTTTGCACGACTTCAACAGCATCACAGCAGTCAGAGGGGGACCACAATGACGACGGCCCCAAGAAAGTCTCGCCCATCGGTAGGCACTCAGAAGTTCTGGGAATGCAGCTCATGCCAGCGCCAGAACCTGTGGTCCTCGTCATCCTGCTGATTCTGCTCCGCCAGCCACCACAAGGATGAGGACCCCATCGAAGATCACGATGATGACAGCAGCGGATGGCAAGTGCAGCGCAGACGACGCAGCTCACGTCCGCGCTCAAGACCAGCGCCGTGGCAGGGCGCATGGAACCAGCAGCAGTGGCACAACTGGGACAATGGCGCCTCGCAGCAGAAGGACACGCCCACCAGAGCACGCAGCGCAGCGCCGACCCACGCGTTCGCGCAGGCACCTCCGCTGCCACGGCCAGCGGACCCAGAGCATGCAGAACAGCATCGTCTTTGGCTGCCACCACCAGCATCAAGCAAAGACCTCCGTGCCCATCGTGCCCAGCTCAAAGGGTCTCTTGGCGCCCTAGAGAAACAAATTGCTTCAGCATACGAGCTAGGGCAAAGGGGGAGATCATCCGCTCCCTCGAGGACGACTACTCGGTGATCTTATACCAAGTCATGTTCGCCAGGGACGCCAAGTCACGCACCGAGCAGCAGCGTGCCTACCTGGACAGGGTCAGGAAAAGGCAGCAGGACTCCCAGAAGGACGTCGACAATCTCTCAGAGAAGTTGCGCCTGGCGAAGGCGCGCACGCAGGCCGTGACGGAGGACGTCACCAAGGCCGAGGAGCTGCTGGCACACTTCGCGTCCCTCGAGCGCCAGGAGCAGCAGGACCGAGACGCCGCAGCAGCGGGCATGGACGTGGACGGCA